GGGTGGCGGCGGGCAGCCTGCTGGCTCTGCTCATTCTCTGGACGCTCTTTGGGAACGTGCTGGTGTGCGCGGCCATCGTCCGCTACCGACACCTGAGGAGCAAGGTCACCAACATCTTCATCGTGTCCCTGGCTGTCTCGGACCTGCTGGTGGCTCTGCTAGTCATGCCCTGGAAGGCAGTGGCTGAGGTGGCCGGGTACTGGCCCTTTGGGGCTTTCTGCAATGTCTGGGTGGCCTTCGACATCATGTGCTCCACGGCCTCCATCCTGAACCTGTGTGTGATAAGTGTGGACAGATACTGGGCTATATCCAGCCCTTTCCGCTATGAGAGGAAGATGACCCAACGGTTGGCTCTGGTGATGATCAGCGTGGCGTGGGCTTTGTCTGTGCTCATCTCCTTCATCCCTGTCCAGCTCAACTGGCACAAAGGTGGGGATGTTGTTGCTGCTGGTGATATTGGAGATGGATTTGGCACTGGCTGGGCAGCAGCGGGTGCTGTCACCACCTGGGCAGAAGACATGGGCACCACGTGGGTGGCATTGGCAGCAGTGAGACCCTCTGATGGGACCTCTGGCAGCAACGATACCCTCGTTGGACCATCAGAGAGTTGTGACTCCAGCCTCAACAGGACTTACGCCATTTCCTCCTCCTTGATCAGTTTTTATATCCCGGTGGCTATCATGATAGTTACCTACACTCGAATCTACCGCATTGCCCAGGTGCAGATTCGTCGGATCTCTTCCTTGGAGAGGGCAGCTGAGCATGCGCAGAGCTGCCGGAGCAGCCACATTGACTGCCACCATCACACAAGCCTCAAGTCCTCCATCAGGAAAGAGACCAAGGTGTTGAAGACCCTCTCCGTCATAATGGGTGTCTTTGTCTGCTGCTGGTTGCCGTTCTTCATCTTGAACTGCATGGTTCCCTTCTGCGAGAGCCCACCCAGTGACCCCCACGCTGGCCTTCCCTGCGTCAGTGAGACCACCTTTAATATCTTCGTTTGGTTTGGTTGGGCCAACTCCTCTCTCAACCCCATCATCTATGCCTTCAATGCTGACTTTAGAAAGGTCTTCTCCAACCTCCTGGGATGTGGTCAGTTTTGCTCTAGCACTCCAGTGGAGACTGTTAATATAAGCAACGAGCTTATCTCTTACAACCAGGACACCCTTTTCCATAAGGAGATAGTGACTGCTTATGTTAACATGATCCCAAATGTGGTTGACTGTGAGGAAAATCGCGAGGACCCTTTTGATAGGATGTCCCAGATCTCCCCTGACCACGAGATTGCCACTGACTCTGTCTGTGAGCTGGACTGTGAGGGGGAGATTTCACTAGGAAAGATAACACCTTTCACTCCAAATGGTTTACATTAAATTGCATCCTGCCCTGGTCAGTTCTTCTTGGGTGATAGAACAAAATATTAGCACTGAGTGGAAAAAGCTGCTTGGTTTTATGCTATAGTTTGGTCAGTCACTTCATGCTAAACTCACTTCTACGTGTAGCACTTTGCAGGATGTAGACAGCGTCATACAGGGAGCTGGCAGCACAAACTGAATTCAGCACTTCCCCAGGCTGGGAGAGGACCAGGCAGTCGTGTTGATTAGCTGTGGTGAGGTATTGTGGTATAATTACAGTCAGTTCATGTTTATAACGTGTTTGCAAATGAAAGGTGCCATTGTCAGTGCTAAGTATTACAACTTCTAAAATCAGGGACAGATGTGGCTGGCATAGACATTAAATAGAAAAAAATTCTAGGCTGTTTGTTTGTTCAGATCTTATGTTTCTTTTTCTCCGTTGTTTTTTGTTTGGTTGGTTGGGGTTTTTTGTTGAGGTTTTTTTTTTTTGAAGATAGAAATAGTGAGGTGGTGATTTGGATGATTATTTAAATGCGTGTTTCTGCCAAAACAGTTCATGTGAAATCCATGTTTTCCTAGGCGGCGTTGTTGCCTATGATATCCTTGCCATGTTCCCAGATGAATAAATAAAAGTTACGTTGATCAAGGGGTTATTATCTTTCATTTATCACCCTGAAAGGTTTACAACAAGTATTCAAACTTTAACATTTCTGTTTGAATGGTTAGAATGACTAACAGCTAAACCCTATTATTTTAAAAGCAAAATAGTCTGTATAGAAAATACAAGTTTTGAATAAAAGCAAGGCTCATAGGAATGATTGACTTAGATGAACTCTTTTATATGGCTCTACTTACAGCTAGATTCATGCCTGTTTTTCTTTGGTATTGTAACTGACGCTATCCCTCTCTGCAGCTAAGAATATATATATACAAGCTATACATATATATATACACACATACCTACAAGCTATTAAAACTTTCCACTTAATTCTATACTTGAACTTACTTTTTAAAGATATTATTAATGAGAAGAGTTTGGTGATAGAATTAGGAGGTGGATGTATCTAAACCCAGTAATTATATTTTTAAATTATGTTAATAATCAGCATTTCCCAGTGTAGACATTAGAGAATTTATTCAAACCAAGAGAAGAAAAAAATGCTATTGATGCATTTTTTTAGTTATTTACTTATTAACCGGAATTTAAATATACTTTAAGTCCTTTGACTCTATAAAAGCAGTCTTTAAAAATTGTAGAAGAGTGTTTTAAGCTCTGTTTCTGTTGAAACGTTTACATCAAATGGAATATTTTATTTAGAAATGTGTAAGCTTTCAATTCAGAAATCAAAAGTGATCTTATTTCGAAGGCAAATGATCAAAGGTAGTAAAAGCAATACCAATATTTATTTCAAGTTTTGGTGCACAAAATGAACAACATTTGAATTCAATTTCCCTTTAAAAATACCTGTGCCATGAGCTGAGCAGATTTAAATCGAATTGTAGGTGCGGATTCAGTAGCACTCCCCCCTCATGGCCCTGACCTGGGGTCTCCCCCTTCCTGCCCAGCCAGGAACAGAAGACCCCAATATGCTGTATGGGGGGGGAAAGTAGGATCTGCACTAGGCAGCATGGTTCAGGGGGAGTCGTCTAAGCAGATGCTGGGTTTTGTGAATGTTACGCACTTAGGATTGAGCCTCTCTGGAAGTCAAGCCCCTAATACTGGTTTGGGGATTGTCTTACCTCCCCGGGGGATATGGGGTGGAAGAAGCGCAGGAGGTATGTGATTGAAATCCCATTGTGGTTGCTTCTGCTGCAGTCCAGTTTTGTCTGCAAGCAACGTTTTGTGTGTGTAGTCTTTGATATTCATTCGTTATATAGTCATTTTGGATTATCTTTTCAACTGCTTGTCACCGAAGATTGACATCTACCTGAGCGTTTTCTTTGCTGTTGATATGAAATCTCAGTGTAATATCCCTTTACAGCTGTCCTCAGAAAAGGTTTTGTGACTGTGGCTTAGGGAAGCTTGGAAAACAGAAATCTCACGCTCAGAACCAGGATCAACCTACTAATGGCTTGACATCGAGGGTGAGTACGTTTCTCCACTAAAGCAATCCTATGTTGCCTGGGGTTAACCGTAGTTCTGTCTCTCCTGGTTAGATAAACTTGCCCAGAATAAAATCATTTTCCCAAATCAAAATGAAGGAAACTGCTTCTGGTGGTGCAGTGATGAATTATCCCAACTAGAATTTAGAGTATTATATTTTCCAGTTACTACTCAAGTTTTGAGGCTAGTACAGCATGTTAAACTTGATAGATCTGTGCAAAAATCCTATGATAGCCAGATGCAAGAGGTGCAAGCACCTGGAGCTGATTCCAGCTCCCAGGGCAACGCCTATATTTTATCCAATTTTGTCCATATTACGTCAGAAGCAGGCCAGGGAAGTGGGGCAGGGAAAACATGATCTCTTCCTGAGCACCTGCGTGCCAACAGGCTGCGCAGCCTGACACTGCGTGTTGCACCCTGCGCCAGCAGCAGTACAGAGCAGAACGACAGTTTCAGTGGTAACAGTGAAGAGAGTGTCCCCCCACCTCCCCAAATAGCTTTTCCTCTTCATAATAACCCTTGTGCTGGTGGTGTGACAGTTCCCTCGGATCCAGTTCCCTGCAGGTGAGGTGGAGGGGTAGGTGTGTACAAAAAGATGCTAGAGCACCCTGGCAGGTGCCTTTCTTCTTGTCGAGGCCTGGGTTTCTGGAGCAGGTGAGTGGGCTAACTCTGGGACACAGGAAGATGACATCTCCATCAGTGGGTTTATGTAACAGCTTTGCACAGAATGTTAGAAACAGGCTTAGATCTGAAGGAAGGCAAATTTTAGCCTGCTCCCAGAATTTGGGAGCATATTAGGACAGTACAGAAAACTAGCCAAATTGCCACTTTCCATTACTAATTTTTAGTTTATGACTTCAGCTGGTAAATGATTTCTGATAGTGGCTCTACGGTGTAATCTCTCTCCTTGGAATACGTACCTGTCAGGGAGCTTCATCCTTTGGAGCCCAGGAGCATCAGAAAGGGAAGATTTCTGCTTGGAAAGACAGAGTGAAGGTACAGTTTTGCTAGAAGCACAGATTGACCTTAAGGATCTGAAAGAAAACCTTTTTCTTGACTTGAAACAGGGACAAGTTTTTGGTAGTGTATTAAAAATTAGTACGATAAACTTTTTAAAGAAATGTGTATCTTGCCTTGAACTGTAAAAAGGAGCAGTGTTTTAACAAAAACGTCCCCAAAAAGGCTTTTTAAAAACTGGTTTCTCTCAGATGAAACTGCTGCCCTACTTTTTTAATGGTTTCCCTCTTAAGGATGAATGCGTCTGCCTAGCCATAGAGCAGAGTTCCTTGGAAGTGCAAGTAGATTTTGAAAATCCTCATATCCTTGTGGTGTCACTCAGGAACTCATCTGTGCCAATGGTTTTGTGCCTCCCATCACCATATTTTCTTCCGTGAAAGTCACCTTACTCCTGTCATGCATTTTACTCCCTAATTAAGCCTGATCACTTATTGCTAACTCAGTTTCATTGTTTTTTCTTTTCTTTTTTATCCTTTGTACTTTCATTATTTGAATGTACAGTGCCGTTTGGCTTTCAGTCATCGTTACTTAATCTAGTCCTGAGTGATGGCTGACCTTCAAGGTCCCAGATTATTTTCAGTTTCTATTTTGTGTTGCTGTTTAGAAATCTTACCTTGTAATACGTGTCAGTGTTAAATCACCTCTCAGCCAGCCAGATCTTCTGTTACGGCTTAATTCTGTTAGTCCTGGGTAACTCCATTCCAAAGGAGGGTCGCTATATCAGCAGCCTGTATGTTTTCTGTCTAACTAATGACAGAGGAGCTCATTTTAATGAAAGAACAGAACACGTGAAGGTGGCTTAGTTCATTTTTAAGAAGCTGGGACATGAGGACATAAAAGTACAGCGTTTTGTGTAAAATGCTGCAAACACCACGAGGACTCTTTCACTATTCAACCCCCCCAAGAGCTTTTATCAGCACTGGCTTTAACAAGGAGTGGTGGGTTGTATAGTGTTGGGGTTTTTTTCCCAAGCTAAAGAAATGTAGATGACTCTCTCTGAGGTGAACAGAAACAAAACACTTTTCAAAGGGAGAAAAATTACTGCAATATTTTGTAGTAAGTTTGGTACTTTATCCCTTTGCTTTCATTGTGTTTTTTACTTTTGCCAGCCACATCTGATGTGTCTCTGCAGGGAGGCTCCCTACTGAGAACTGCTGTATTTTTGTAACATATAACAGAAAAAGGCTTCAAAATGACGAAGACTTCTTGTAGAAATAACACTAAGCACAATCTTACACCATTTAGGAGTCAATCATGTATAAACTCAGTATTCAAGAGACTGACAAGACTGGAGGCAGTGTTCAGAACATGCATCGGATTGGAGGTTTGAGGGGTCACAAGTCCTTCAGCGGCTTGTATGTGCCAAAATTGCCACTCTTAACAAGGAGGGCATTTTCGTCACTGTCACACAGAAGGCAGAGTATACACCTATGTCGGTGCTAATAATTATGCAGAGATTTTTCTTTCCTCTGAGGCCGTCTTCCCTACTGTTTAATTGGATTCATCAGATCTTTAAAATTACTCAGTGCCTATTTAAATCAGTAGAAGACCTCAGTGATGGATGTGGCTTGGGTCACAGAGCAATGAAATTATTTCTCCTGGCTTCTTATGAATATTACTACTGGTATTCTCTGCTAGTAGCTGATGACATGTTAAAGTTAGCGTGCTGAACAAAATACTTCACCAGATGATATGCAGAAATAATTCTTTGATTCAGATTTATTTATTTGTTTTCAAACTTTGGAAGACTTTTCAAACTTTCCAGGAACTTCACAAAGTCCACTTTGATCATATCTCAGATCAGCAACAACTGGTTGCATTTTTAGTGCCCTGGTAACTATATAGTGCACTATGCTTTTATGATCAGGATTATGCCTCTGTAAGTTTAAGGTGATGTTTTCAGAGGAAATTACCATTATTACTGGCGCACCAAAGATGTGCCTCTTTCTTCAGGCTTTTTCTTTATTGTAGCAGTGGTAAGATTGCAATGAGCAATAATAGGATTAGGGGTGTAAAGAGTGGAAATACAAATAATGTCATCTGAAGCACATGATGGATTGTTTCTTTCAGGAAGCCTGCTGGCTCTCCCAGGATGGTTTAATAGAAAATTTACAAGATTATTTTCTCTTGTTATATGTTTAAATCCATTCTCAGTTGTGACTGGAGATAACGTTCAATAAGATTTGTAGTGGACAGGTAGCTCTTTAAGGAGGCTAAACATTTTTATGTACTTAATCATTTATATCACAGTCACATTTGTGAGATTTGCAAAATACAATGCAGTAATCATAAAAAAATTAAAAATTCCAGCCCATGAAAAAAAATTACTCCTACGATTTATTCCCCATTGTTAACAACAAATACTTGTTCGTATCTTGTGCTGCACTCTCACTGCTACCAGAAGAAGCTGGATTGCTTTGAACCTGCTACTAATAATCTGCTGATTCATGTTAGGAGGAAGGTCTGAAAAATAAGGAAAGAAATGGCAGCAACCTGTACAGATAGGTTCAGCTCACATGAAAT